GAGAGTCTAAGTGACGCAATTCTAAGGAGCATAGACTTGTAGTATAGGATAAAGAGAGATACTTAGAAAGTCATATTTCGGCGTAGAGTGAAAGTACTATGCATAATAGTCCCGCTATCTGTTCTGATGAGATGAGAATTTGTCTTGCTTTAGCCAATGCTTTCATATCAAATCTATAACATGTTTTGTAAATGATGATTGTGCATAACACTAGAAAGATACTGTTCTTTGAGCATTATTGCCTGCATATGCAAATTGAGTCCTTTTCTAACTCTCCACCCTATCTTCTAACTCTGCTTGCATCTATCCTGAGCAAAACCAAGAAAATGGAATTTCTATGTGAGAAGAATAGTAAAAAAGAAACAGCAGCAGAAACAACTAAAATACTCCACCTACCGTGTGAGAGACTCCAAAAGTATCTAGAGGAGCGAAGATTGGTAAAAACACTTATGAAAAGTGGAGGGAGAGGAGTAAGAGAACTTAATGAGTCAGTGAACTTTGAAGGACTTCCATAAGCTCTCTATACAAAGGATAACTCTTAACCTCCTAGGACTCCTTAAGACCCTTTGTTGATAGGACATGTTATACAAAAGTTAGGAACGTAGTTAGATTGTTTGAAAAATGATTGATTTGAAATTAATGAGTTGTTTTTAGTGCATGGTTTAATGACGAAAGAGAGACTCACCTGTCCTTGAAAGCTTGAACTTGACTTCTTTCTCCATCTAAAACAATAGACTCTATAGATGTATTGAACGAAACACCTTCAGCATGCGGCGAGGGAAATTCGGTAAAATATGAAAACATAATAAATGAAGAACCGTGTTCCAACAAGAGCTTTGGGTGCAAATGTCGACGCCTAAGTTTATTTACTTCCCAAGCACATTTATTCATTGATTCTCCTAAAGAAGCTTCCTCCGGAAATCAAGTTCGGCGACGGAGCGTAGCTCAGTGATGATGGAAATGCAGTGCTGTTGAAGACCAGTACTAAATTTTTGCAAGGGGGAAAGATTTCATTAGCAACACAATTCCCACAAACTGGGGAGTATATCGAATAGACTCAGCTGAAGCTAAGAATCAGAGCCTTTTCAAATTTCCTGAAAATATTTTGGGATTTTGGGTTCGTCGAAATCAGAATGGCCTGCAGGAGTCAATATTGGGGAGCTTGAACATTATTTGTGTACAAG